CGGTCACACGCACTCCGCGTGTTCGACAAACGAACAGTCGTCACACCCTACCTCGAACCCCTCCATTTCCCTTTCCCCCGACTCCAACGTCCTCAACATGATGACTCCGTCATGCAGGCGGCATGTGAACGATCAGTGTGAGCAATCCTCACACGCCTGTTCTGACATGGAAGTAGCACCTACTGATAATGTTCATTTGTGCCCCATAATAAGGACAGATCGATTGATCCCACTCCGGGGGGGGGACTTAGAATTGAATCCACATCTCAGATTCACGTCGTCGGACTGCACCTAAACCCCGCGCTTCGTCGACAGAATTTAATGCTCTGTAATTGGGTCAAAACTATGAACAGCATCCACACGTGACTGTACTACTGACTTCCATGTGACTCGCAACAGAGACGTAGAAAGCCACCAAATACCACAATATGTCGCGAACTATTTTTAATCAGAATCAATAAGCGTAGTGAGTTAAAACACACTTGCAGTCAGACAATCGTCCACAACACACACACTTGACCAGGATTTTAATCAACAACGACAGAAGAATGGAGCCCGGCACGGCCGAAGCCCCACTTAGACTTGCTGCCACACCCGGCTCGTATCTCACAGAGTGAGTGTCATAAAGATCACATTAAGAAGAAGCCATTGCAGTCTGACTCTTAGACCACCAGTCGGTCAATCCACACAAACACACAACACTGGGCCGACTGCGAGGTCCCAGCTAACCCATCAGTTGGCGGCATTCCAGTCGACGAGAGCGGCCTCAAGGAGGGGTCCCTTGGACTCAAGAACAAATCTACAGTTTTGCACTGAAATCAGCCTCACACAAAGAAGATGAGCATCAATACGCATGACAACATTTTGCATCTGTTTGATTGCTGCGGCCACTTTCGGTAAATCGGTCTCCTGACAACCACCACCAGCGCCACCACCACCACCACCCCCAGCACCACCATAAAAAAGTGAAATTTCTTGAAAATAGTAGATATGAAGGTAGAGGACACATCGAACAATAGTTCTTTTGCGTGGAGTTTGCGCGGACAACCCGCATTCCCTCAATACTTTGATCCTTTGTACTGGAGTGTCCTTTACTGTCAGCGAGGAGTAATCAGCAGGTGGGGGTCGAGGTGGCTTCTCTGGCCGTTGGCAGCCTCCTCGTTCAAAGCCCCTCACCGAACACTGTCGGTTTGGGCGTCCCTGCAAATACACAACTGTCGAGCCTTGCTCCAGCGCTGAGAATCCAGACACTTGGCGTGACGCTCATACTCATCTAAACGTCGAATATCCTCCAGACTCTGCACTTTATAACTTGAGGCCTCCTGCGTGGTGTGCAGGAGGGCCTCGAAGTGCGCATCCGCCGGTTCCAGGAGCAGGTGGATCCTTACAGCGAGGCGAGATTTTAGGGCAACGCTGTCGGGGGGCTCTTCAGACGCCAGGTTGGGCATTCGGCCGTCCCGATCATTGGAATTCCTGAAGCGCACAACGCCCTCGGAGATCTGCGCAAACTCGGCTGATATGATCTGGGTGAGAAGAGAATACGGAGAGGTGCGGTTAGGACCAGAAGAAGAACCATCATCAGGCTATCAACAAGTGCAACGACAGCCCAACTCCATATTCCGTGCTGAGGCATAGGCTGGCCAAGGTAATTAACCACTCGGGGAGCGCGCAACCCGGTGAGCCCGATGGCCGAGCAATCATCACGCCAGCATCCGACCCAGGTGTGGACATTTCGGCAATGAACAACTCGCATGCCGGCCATCAAGCAATCAGCGCACCAGCGGGCAACAATCCTTGATGAAGGGGAGCACGGTTAATTGCTATAGGTGTGCCGTAGCATAGCGACTGCATCCTATAAATACTGCAACTTCCTGTGCACGAGCCACCCTTTTCTGCCACTGTCTAGGATGGTGGGTTAAAGTGAGAATCCGAAACGTCAGGCGAATAAAGCCCTTGTTCCAGCGATCGCTTCTTCTTCTTCTTCTTCTTCTTCTTCTTCTTCTTCTTCTTCTGATCAACTAGTTTCTGGAACTCACATCTTCGCTTGTTCAGTGAGTGTTATGCGACACCATTAGGATCTGTTAGACTTAACTCAAGGGCGCAATTGGAAGAGCATGTTCCAGATCCATAAACGATCATGTCACGCTCGATATTTAATTAAATTCGTTATCAGGTGTGCAAATGAAATTAACTTGTGACGGTAACTGTCAAAAGTGTCGTGATTCGAGGCATTTTGTCCCCGGAAAGAAGTTAAAACAGGCATAAATAACAGGATTAAAGGGTATTAATAAAGTTCGCGACAGTTTATCAACGGCAACGCCTCGCTGCATAAGATATATAACGAATAGGGGAATGCCGCGAGTCGAATTTGCACAAGAAATTGGTGCGAAAACAGCTGGCTTACAGCCCAATATACTCAGTATAATCTATGACGGTTCAATCAGGCGATCAATCTTCTGCAAGAGTAGGTGTGAAGATCAGCACCGAGTATTGATCCAGCACAACGAAAATGTAACCTCGTCTAGAATCTTCCACAGAGTGCGAAAATTTTTTCCACTGAGGCACTGGAAGCAGAATTTACCTGTCGCAGGGCAATCCTCCTTAAACGTGGCTATCCAGCATGTCTCATTCAAAAGTAGGTTAAGCCCTTGCGGCAAAAATGGATAGAACAGTCGGTTGCGAAAAGGCCCCTTGTAATATCCTTGCCTCGTAAAGACGAAAAAAATTTAGACACAATAAAGCAACGATTGCGGTGCAGGCCAACTTATACACAGAGGTCCTATTAAAATTATTCCAATTCAAGGGACAAAAGATACCTTTCTATTGCGGACCAGTTTGAGTTGTGTTTATGAATTCACATAGAGTGGATAGACTATATTATGAAATGTTGACCGAAGTGCTGAAATGTGTATGCAATTCGAAAAGATTGCCATATTAGTCTCTATGTCGTATAACCCTAAGATATTCCAGCCACGTCAGAATGCCGGCTTTCGAGCAAGCCTCCTACGGAAATCTGGCATAAGCTATATTCCGCGAGAGTAACTACTTCAGTAGCGTGAAGTCTTTCTATCGATTTCGACACCCTTATAAATATAAATATATTTTGTAGAAAAGGAGCATAAAAATATTCTTTTTTACTCATCTGGTATTCAATCATTCATTCTTCAAGTTTTATACTTTAAAAAAGTGCTTTCCTGTTTTAACAAACTTTTTCAATTTCCGAATAAGTTTGAACGTAACCTGCAGCTACACTTGGATTCAGGGTCTCAGAACTGCAAAGTGTACACTTTTCTTGTAAAGAAAATCGTATAACTCTATATGTCATTATGAAGAGAACATGTAGGTCTCATAAAATTTTGCAATGAATGTGGACTATGTTGTCTACTTTAAGAGGAGCATTAATATATGCGCTGATACGATGCTGTACGATTGAACGGTTAACAGTCTTGAAAAATCTTACAATAAGAAATCATTTGAAATTAAAAGATACAACCTTCACCAATTATAAAATCTGAAGAGGACGTAAGTTGATACCAGATGAGTAAAAGAAGGAATATTTGCGTGTGTTTTCCACAAAACATATCTGATGTTATAGGGGTATTAAAAATCAATGGGTGAGATCCGTGCTACTTAATCAGTCATTTTTTACGAAATATAGCTTATGCCAGCGGCCAGTAAGGAGCTCTTTCGGAAGCCGGCATCCTGAAGTGACTGGAACATCTCAAGATTATGTGAGGAAATAATTAATTTGGCAACCCTACTTAGGGAGTCTTTTCCAAATGGAAGCACATTTTGGAATTCCAATCAGCGTTTCATGAGATAACACGTCTACTGTACATTTGTGGACGTAAGTAGACTGGATGAGACCAAAGGCAACTGACAACTAAATCAGAAGGCTTTTAAAGTAGGAGAATAAAATTCCCCGCTCTTCTATTACAAGACACCTCCTTGACAGCGGTCACTCCGTCGATCTAAAAACGGCCTTCTAGGTTCTTGTTCCGACACGAACAACTCAGCCGCTACGCTCCTCGGAAGCAGTCTACATAAGGAGGGGGAAACCTGACTTTTGCAGACAGGCAAACCCATGTGCTCATCTGGAACCTGTCCCGGTAATTCCCAGTTGTTTGATTTAGATTAGTTTCCTTTCTGAGGCAAATTTCATTATTCACGTCGCCTAAAGTATGTGGGTTTATTCCATGCCCCTTGCGCCCTCCTCCGTCTCTGGTCTTTTGACCCTGTTTTGACACCGGGCCCGGGGAGGGGAAGAGGAGAGAGTGCGGAAGATGCTGCACGAGTCTACTCCGTGTGCAAGACAACGTGCCTGCTCTTACCCCGCTGTGGGACACACGGTGGACATCTTCGTTCACGAACTCGGGTGTGGTCACACGTACTATAGGTGACTGTGTGCTAAATTCCAGGAGGATGTCTATTTCCATGTCCTGAATCTACCGCAAGGCCACTGGTAATGCGTAGGATCCCTATTCTCCTGGAATACCGACAGCCCCAGATGGATTCGACTGCAAATCCGAAACTCCGGATGCGCCAAATTCCCGTTACATCGACAGCATCTTCTTCTTCTCCTCAACTGCTGCCAGGCACTCTCCGCTTCGCTTGTACGCCTGACCATCAATAACGAGTCAGGAACTGGAATATGCCCCCCCCCCCAGTACTACATGAGGTCTTGTGTCGAACGCTAAGGGCTTCCTGTCCCCGTTTCCTAACTTTTAGCTTTATCTGGCAACTTGGCCTAAATCCTAACCCTCCTTGCACTAAATCCAAATCCCCCTCCCCCTGGAACTGGTGGAAAGGCCACCCGTAAGGGGCAGGGGTTCCCATGACTGTGTCCCACCGGCCTGGGGTTCTTCGCGCTGTAGTAGTAGCCGATTTCGTGAGTATGCCGGAGACGCGCTATCGCTTGAAATGTTTGCCGGAATCCTGAAATGCGTTTTCAATTCGAAAAGGTTACTCAAGCAGGGTTCTCAGGTTAATTGTCCCGTTGCAAGATTTTTCAGTCACGTCAGGATGTCGGCTTTCGGCGTAAACTAAATTCTGCAAAAATGACTACTTAAACGGAATGCGTCTTTCTAATTGATTTTCTATGTCCCTTTATAGAAGACATCCATAAAAATATTCTGTTTTCTACTCACTTGATAGCAACTCGCGTCTTCCTAAAATCCTATACTTGGAGAAAGTGTATCTTCCTGGTTTTAAAAAAATTTATATTGTAAAATTTATCAGTACCACGAAATTTCCACTCGTAAAGCATCACATCAGATTATAAAGCGGGCAATGTGGCCCACCAATCACAAAATTTTATGAGTATTATATGTCTCTATCATAACAGCATATAGCCTACAGCTTGTAGTTTCGAAACCCTGAATGCACTTTTAACAGTGGATCGTGTTCAAAATTATTCGAGCATTGAGGAAGTTTTTTAGAACCGTAAGATACTCTTCGGTAAAGTATAGAATTCGAAGAAGACGCAATTTGCTACCAAATGAGTAGAAGAAAAAATATTTGTATGCATGTTTTCCATAAAATACATGTGAATTTATAAAGATAGTAAAAACTAATGGAAAAACTCACACTAATAATGTGATCACCTTTGCGAAATATATCTCATGCAGGCGGTCGACAAGGGGATCCTTCGAAAGCCAGCATCTTAAAGTGACTGGAATATCTTAACATTATGCGACAACCCTAATAAAGTAATCTTTTATAAGGGAAAACACACTTCAGAATTCCAGTCAACATTCCAAATCTCCCAGGAGGTATAGTAGGTGGGATAACTCATGAAATGTCAACCAGATTTCCAAAATGTGTTTTCGTTTAAAAAAGATTAATTAAGTAGTGTTGTAAAAAAAGTTATCATGCAACATACTTCTATAATAATTCAGCCACCTCAGGATGCCGGCTTTCAAATAAACTTCTTTCCGGCTGCATGCAAAATCTACACTCTGTAAAAAAGGACCCCTTAGTAGCATGAATTTTTCTCATTGATTTTCGATGCCTCTAAAAGTCCAATTATATTTCATGGAAAACATGAATTAAAATGTTCATTATTTGCTCATTCGGTAGATAATTACGTCTTTTTCTAATTTTATACTCGAAGGAATGACATAGTTAGGTTTTAAAAAACTTTTTTAATTCCCGAATAATTTTGAATCTGCTCTACCATCAGACTTGGATTCAGGGTTTCCAAACTACAAGCCGTATATTTTCCACGAACGAAAAACCGCGCATTTCTCTACGGTAATAAAGAACACCATATAAGTTTCATAAAAGTAAGCAGTTGATTCGATCCATATTGGTAACTTTGCAAGCCACATTAGTAAATGCAGAGACATGACGTTTTATGAACGGCCATTTCACAGTATTAAAAAATCCCGCAATTAGAAGCCTTTTTAAAAACCAAATTATATCCTTCCTCCGAGTATAAAATTAGAGAAGGACCTAACTTCCTACCGAATAAGCGAAAACTGAATATTTTTATGCATGTTTTTTATTAAATACAATTGAATGTTTAAGGGCATAAACATTCAATGATAAAAATGCATGTTACTTAAGTAGCCATTTTTGCAGAGTATGGTTTTTGCATACAGTCGGAAAGAAGTTCATTCGAAAGCCGGCATCCTGAGATAACTGAATTATTATAAAATTATGCTGCATGATAATTGGTTTTGCAACACTACTTAATTAATCTTTTCGAGACAAGAATGCATTTTGGAAATCTGGTCGACATTTCATGAGTTATCCCATCTACTGTAAGTTTATAAAGTGGGCCCCAGTACCAGACGATGGTTTCTGAGTGCAGAGCGCAGATATTGAAACGCAACCTGCCTGTTTGAGTCGCAGCAGGTGACACATGCCCACCAGTCGAACGGACGTAGCGGTGCCCGCTTCTTGCCCCCGGCTCTCACTGACCAGCACTCGCGTGGCATCGTTCAGAGTGCTGACAAGAGCCTGTGCGGCTTGGCGCACCGCCGTTGGCCAGATGACGCGGCGTGGACCCGCTGCCGGCGGCGTGGGTCTCACGGGCACCCAGTTGACACAGGCACACCAGTGTTCCGCAGCGCCGATCTCCCGGCAGGTGCGATTGGCTGGTAGCGGGACGAACAGCGAGCGTCCACGAGAGACGGCGGGCGCTGGCAGCGACAACTGTCTGGCCAGTAGGTGTTGCAGGCTGGCGTGCAGGTCGAAGGGCGAGCAGAGACG